AAACAATGTTTTAGACTGTGGTGATGGTAGTACAACTTCATAAATTTACTAAAAGTCTTTGGTTTGTACATTTATGATATATACACTATACCTCATTATAGATGTTAAAATAATAATTAAAAAAGCTATCCAGGTTTGGCATTGCTATTGACTCAGGTCTAATGAGATCTGTTACATTTGTCTCCTATTGCTCAAAGCCCAGTAAGACAGTGAACTATTGAGGAATAGAAAATCACCACTGTTTCCATAGAAGACATTGCTATTTCTTGAAGCTAAACATTTCTAATGTTCTTCAATATTACACTTGCTAATCAGTCTTTCTAGCCTTGCAGATGTAGCCAGTCCATTATGGAACTACACAGAAGCAATATTTTTTTTTTAAATCAAAAGAATTTTTTTGGCTTGTTTGAAACAGCTGTGTTTCTAGAAGCATAAGATGGAGTTCTAAGTAAGAGAGACTCATTTCTTAAGCAGTGCATTTTTTTCCTGATAATTTCTAAGAGAAGGGGAAATAATATTTGTTAGGTGTATATAAGTACAAGATTTCGCACTAGGTTCACTTGCAATTATGTGAGATACATAGAGCTGGCCTTACTGCTCTTATTGAGCAAACACATTCTCAAAATTTCAGTAAGTGATAGAGCTGAATTCTGACTCAGATCTTTCTGATTCTAAAACTCATTACCTATACTCTCCACTTTGCTGCCTTGTGCTTGGTTGAATACAGACTTTCAAAACCATGGCACAGCCCTGGCTGGTGTGGCTCAGTGGATTTGGCGCTGGCCTTTGAACCAAAGGGTCACTGGTTTGATGCCTGGTCAGGGCACATGCTTGGGCTGTGGGCTGGGTCCCCCATTGTGGATGTGTGGGAGGCAGCCTGTCCATGTTTCTCTCGCACACATCAATGTTTCTCTACATCTCTTTCTCACTCCCTTCCCCTCTCGCTAAACAAAACAAAACATTGTACAGTTGCTGATCAGCATATATAACTATACTTTTGAAGTTTACAGTCAAAAATTAAAGGATGTATTTTCTAAAACTTATGGACCATTTAATAGAAAATTGTATGTATGTATTTTTGTCCATGTGCATTGCAGAAATATAAGTAATGATGAATTTGTATATGTGGGTACATACTTGCACATCCATGTGTATGGTAATGAACAATAAAGTTTTATCAATTCCTTCATTTTCAGTTTTTCCTAAAATTTTACTTTATAATTACTTACATTACATATTCTACTAAATTATGAGTAAGCTTCAGAACAGGGGTTTGCTGTATTCATTATATTAATCCAACAATCGACACAATGTAAATCACACCAAGGGTGTTCAATGGATATGTATTAATGAATAAAAAATTTAAAATGCATCCAATGAGTTGTAAAAACAGTTACAAAATAACTTATGTTATATGTTTTTGTCGAGAAAAGAAGAGCTTACTTATAACATTTTAATACTCTCTTACAAATGTCCTTAGAGCAGTGATTCCCAAACATTTTGATTTCAAGGAACCATTTATAATTTTTTAAAATTTTTGTTCAAGTGCAGTTGTCTCCATTTGCCACCACCTTCCCCCGCAGTACTGAGGACTTCAGAGCTTTTGTTTATGTGATTTATAGCAACATATATATTCTGTATTATAAGTTAAAACAAAAAATTTAAAATATTAACAAGGTACTAAAACAATAACTCATTCCAAGTTAAAATAAATCACATTTTAAATATAAATTATTTAAAAAATAAAAACATGAGAAGGGTGGCATTGTTTTATATTATTGTAAATCTGCTTAATTTTGAGCTGAATATGACAGCTGAATTATTCTATCTGTAGACAATGAGTTGTATTTGAAAAACTATATATTTATAAGAAAATGAGAGTGAAAAAGGGAAATATTGCCTTAGCATTGCTATGAAAATAGTTTTGAACTTGTGGATCCCCTGAGAAAATCTTGGGAACCATGAAGATTCCTTGTTCATACTTTAAGAAGCACAGATGAGAACAATTAAAAAAATTTTTTTCTATTCCTGTCACTTATGTTAAAATTATTTTTGATTCCAATAAATAAAAATGCTTTCCCTTTCTGTGAGGTATGCTAATTTTATATAGTTCCTGTGAAATATTTAATGTTATATCAAATTAGAATAGTTTATTAAAATATTATATAAGATATACAGTATTTCTACTTTCAATGGATTTATTTAATCAAAATTAAAATTCATTAATGACCATTTCCTTCTCTGTTTGGGAGAGCAATTATACTATATTTTATTTTAAAATAATTTTTTAATTTTTCAATTATACTTGACATACAATATTGTTAGTTTCAGGTGTATAACCAGTGATTCAACATTACATAACTTCCTAAGTGATTACCCGGATAAATATAGTAATATAATTATACATTTTGTTCTTCACTCCTTCCATGCTTACAACATTATCTTGCTTTACAAATGCAGTTAAATTATTAGCTTCGATAGCTCTTTCACTACTGATAAAACAACTGGACAAGTTTCTCATGTCTCTAAACATGAGAAACAAACATAAGTTAAATTTGTTTTATTATGGAAAATTTTATACATTTAAATAGTAGTGACAAGACAGTTATAAAACTCAGTGTGGTTAATTTCCCAGGTCCAACAGTTATCAAATCATGGTCAACTTCATTTAATCTATTTCTCCATCATCCTCCACATAGCTACTTTTGAAGCAAATCCCAGACAAGGTATTGTTTCATCTTTAAATATCTTAGTATGCATCTCTAAATGATATCCTCTCAATTTTTATTAAAAATATTACTATGAAATGGTAACCATAGTAAAAAGTAACAGTAAACCCTTAATATAACCAAATATTTAGTCAATACAACTAGGCTTCTGGTTGAGAAACAAATGAATTAGATTAGCCAGGAGCATGGATGCTCTGTGCCAGGTTTTCCCTGTCACTAGCTTAGAACTTCTAGAAACTGTTTGTCAGAGACTGTCATTTCAGGCTCTAGCCTTGCATATGCATGTATTTAAATCCCCTTAAAAGCACTGAAGCTCTATTTGAAAACGATGCAAATTATTTAAAAAATTCGAGTTTATGTGACCTAAGGATACATGGAAAATATATTTACCCTATAGTAATCAACACAGAGTAAATATAATGGAAGATATTTGTATTTTTATTTTAGGCAAATATCAAAAGAAAAAGGGGCTTTCAGGGAGATAGATTAGTAAATTTGTTGTTCAAAACAATAATCTTCATTTCTCATTCTGAAAAATCTATATACTAGAGAAAGTTGAATTTAGTTTTCAGATTACAATACTTACAAGAAACCAATAGCTCTTATTTTTGTTACTTATATTTTTAAAACCTTTCTAACTGTAGTAAAAGAAAGCAAATTAAAATAACAAATGGTAATATATAATAAGGTTGAGAAAATTATTAACATAGTATAAAATAATAATATAGTAGAAAAATAGATACAATGTAATAGAGTCTTAATGACTGAGAATAATGATTTGAAGATTTTTGTTACACGAAATAATTTTTGGCACTGCTAGAAAGAATTATGTTGTTTTGCCTTATGAGCTGGAGGGAACTGAAATAGTTTCTAGCAAGTAATTTTCTCTGCAAAAACAGTTTAAGATTCACCCCTGGAATTTTCATCAGTAGTTAAAATACAGTCTGCATGCAATAGAACTATGAAAGGTTGAATTATCTGTCTCTGGCAGAAGACAAATTACTCAATCTTAAAAGGGAAAGAACATTACACTCTTAATCGATTCTTTCTCTATGAAAATAAAGAGAGAAAAATTGCTCAAAGCAAAACCTGTTCCATATCCACATGCTCTATGGTTTAAAATCCACAAGAAACAATGGCAAATACACCAAAAAAAATAACTTTTTGTCCTTTGTTCTCTCAGTCCTACAAAAACAAACCCCTCTGGCACATAAACCATGCTACTATTTCACTTATAACATATATCCATGTATATTTGTACCTATCAATATATATTATGAATATTTTCTCCTGATGTACAGTGTCGATGAAACATAAAGAATATACTTGAATGAGAATATAGTTTCTACTTATATATTAAAACCATTAATTTTTATAAAATTTATATTTTGTCTCATATTTAAATAACAGAACTTTTCATTTATAATATAAAAATTCTATTCCTTTTCAAAAGCATCAAAGTCATGAAAGACAAAGGATTGAGAAACTATCCTATTGGAGGAGGTGAAAATGGTGTGACAAGTGAATGCTGCCATGAGAGAGCTGGATTGACTCCTTCACCAGAGGAAGAGAAAAAATTAATGGGTGGGTGAAGAAACTCAAAATTTAGGTAAGGCCTGTAGGTGTTTCAATAGTATCATATCAAAGTGAACTTTTTGGTTTTGATCATCTTATTGTGCTTAAATAGAGGCAAACCATAGGAAAATTGGGTAAAAGGTGGGCAAAAGAATTAAGTGTACTATTTTCTAGGAGTCCTAAATTTTCTTGGAGTCAACATTATTTCAAAATAAAGCATTTGAAAATTACATCATGATCTTTGGTTTATAAAAGGACAAAAATTCAACAAACAGAAACTCAATAATTGGTAATGTTCAAATTGACAAGGTAGAGGGTACTCCTTAGAAGAATTCAAGGTAGCTTTTTACTTCCTATATAAGAATGTTTTATAGTCCCCAAACTGGTGACCATATTACTCATAGACCAAAATTATGGAGCATTATAATTCCATGGACACTTTTTTAAATGCAATTAATGAAAATAATGATCTAAACATGTACCATTTAGTAATTTGTCATATTAATGACCATGCCATCACTGTATTGTCTTTTCCGTTCAAACGTATAGCTTGACTATATTTCGACATTTTCCAAAACATGTTTATAACAAAAAAGTGTTGTTTTCTAATGTTTAATCAGTCATCCAAACTGAAATCCAAATACATTTTTATATATATATGATATTAAAAGGACTAGATTATTTGATTTTCTTTACCTGAAACTGTGTGATCCTTAGAGTCTTTAGTTATTTTTATCCTTGCATGAGGAAAGATGTAGTGCACAGTCTTCCCATTCATCTGTAGAATCTAAGACATACATGTGATAAGGTGAAAAATCAATGTTAAGACAAAGTGCAATATGCAGAATTAGACCTTTTAGAAAAGCACATTGAGTCAATCACTAACAATGTATTAAAAGCTTCAGAAATGAACATTGAAGCGTCTTACACTATAAAATACAGGGGAAATGGAATTTATTTATAAAAAGTTTATTCTTACCTGTTTAAACTTCAGCCACCTTCAAAGTACTCTCCATTTGTTGCAATACACCTATTGAGCCTTTTCTACCTCTCAAAACAGTTTTGAACTCATCAATTTTGATGCCTTTCAGTGCTTCTGCTGTTTTTTGTTTCACTTCTTCCGCATTGGCAAAATGTTTCCCTTTGAGGACTTTTTTTCACCCAGGGAAACAAAAATCAGTTGCTGGAAGCGAGACTGGGTGAATAGGGAGGGTGGGGCATATGGTTCATGCCATTTTTGGTCAAAACCTGCTGAACATTCAGCGCGGTGTGGCCAGGTGCCCTCCTAAATCATCCATCGTAAAATGGGCAAACGCACTGAAAGAATCCTCAAAAAAAATTCACTAAAGCCAAACACAGCCTCTCACAACATTGCCAGCTGGTACACTGATACAGATGGGTTCCTAGAACACTCACCTCGCCATAGAAGCCTGTACTACAAGGGGCACACCCTCTAGAAGATAATTCCAGTTTTTGGGTCCCCCTCATAATATTACTGGTTTCTGAGTTCCAACCAATTTTTCTTTTTAACTGATTTGTTGTAGTTAGGAAATTAATAAGCACATGCAACAGGCTCTAAAAGATGTCTGTCAGTACAGTAGTACACTATCAACAGTGATAACAGTGCATAGGGCATGCAATGGAAATCTAACAGCTGCTGATTTTGCTCTGGTGTTAGGGGAGAAAAGCCAGGACGATCCCCCTAATATTCCACATCTCTATTGCTGTAGTAGGATCACTTCACATTTGTTGCTTTGGTTTTACTGAGAAATTGTGCTTTTACTGAGCACCTTTACTAGAAGTTTCAGTGTACACTGATGCTGAGAATAATTATGCATAAATAAAGTCTTTGCTCATTCTAATACATTCTGAAGCCTCTTTTGTATTCAAAGGCTGTGTTATTGATGGTGTTATTACTCATTTACCATTGGCATTCCTTTGGGAAGAAGCAGCAGCAGCAACACTTAAAGCTATTGTTGCAAGCCTGAAATGCCAATTCTCATTATTTAAGCTTGAGTATGAAAATATCATAAACCTCATTATTTCTACCTGGCAAAGGGAGATTTCTGAAGTAAAAGGAAATTAGTGAATGCAAACTGTGTTTGATTTCATGAAACTTTGCTTTTAAAAGAGGTTTGTGAAATAATAAAATATAGAAATAATGGAAAATACTGACAGGATTTTATTAGTATAATATCTTGTATTTATCACCTTAGAAAAATTTTGCCTGAAATTACAAATTAAATAAAGTTTAGTAAAGAGACATTTTATGCTACCCATTTCAGAATATGTGTAAGAAGTGTGTGGGAATATTAAACCAAAATATTAAATAGAATTTGGAACCAAAGAGATGTACATTTGGTGTATAAAGATTCTTTTGAATACTCATGTGGCTTTAATGTGTCAATCCAGCTATAAAACTCCTAGAATTCTAGATATTAAAAGTGAAATACACATTTAAAAATGCAAGCTTAAACAAAAGCCTGTAGTTTTTATTCTTTTCAGGAAAGAATAAGCTTAATCAAATCTCTGATGAATATAAAAGACTCCCCAAACATCAGGAGAATCCTGTTAAGTCTAGGAACATTATATGAATCCTACAAAATAAAACTATTGTTTGTAAGATTATTAAAAATATTATGGTTAGCATAAACAGTCAACCTAGATAATTTATACTTACCCTAACCTTGTAATCCATTGAAAGCCTCATTTATATTCATTACAATTAAGAGTGTACATTTTCCTTCTTTTGTTCTCTCTGGCTTCCTGTTTTCTTTTTCTGTCTTTCTTTACCTCTCTCCCTCCATTTTCTCTTACTTTCTCTCCTCTGCCCTACTTACCACATCATCTTTTCTCCTTCTCTTTCCTTCTTCCTCATCACCTCTCCTTCCTCTATCCCCTAATCTGCATTTAAAGATCTTTATTTTTTACTAAATTTAAACCATGTGCATTGAAAATTTTATAGCTATTAAATATTAACCGAACTTCTTAGTACTGTGGATAACATTAAAACTGGTATATATTATTTCAAACATCTAATTTCATGTATTATTTAACAAAATTAAACTAAAACGACAAAATTTTGCCTTTTGCTCTCCTTTGCATTCTCCAGACTAGGGAGAAGTGGATATAATCTAACAGAGAATCTATTGCCCAGTCTAGAAGACTATTATGGCTTCTCAAATTTTTCATCAGAGTATTACCAGGTTGCCAGAATGGCCCTTTAATGTGTACCTATAATGATGTTAGTAAAGGAGATGTTAAACACTTTCATTACCATAATTGTTGCTTTCAGAGCACCTCATAGAATCTCCTCTAGTTTCAGAGACTCTACAAGTTTCATGAATTCAGAAACATTCACCTGCCATAAACATGATCATTGTGACTAAATGTCTACAGAAAGAAGAGCTGTCTCCAACATATGAACAAGTTAGATCTTGGCTTTCCCCTAACCTCTGCAGGTGAATGTTTATAGAGTTATCCAGCAGATGCGATCTAGAAAGAGCAGGGGCAAGGGCAGAGGGTAGGACTGATGTCAAGTAGTGGCACCTTTGTCTCCCTAAGAAGTTTGTCTCTGGTAGCATTGTCTTTTGGTAATTCTGCATTGAGAGAACTATCACCTATACGCCTCCCAGACAAAGGATTGTCTTCCCTCCCTACAGATATTTCAAAAAGGGATCATTTTCATGAACTGAGCCTTCGTACTTATGAAAAAGTAACATAGGTTAACATAGCTTTTGTTAATATAGACATTCTTCATTCCCTTCACTTAAAAACTACACGTTAGATCCAGGATGATGAGTGCTCTTCTGGCATTCCAAGCACTGTGCTAGGCCCTCTGTATATATCTTGGTGGGTGGAATAGGGACTCCCTGCTGCCTAGGAGCACATAGCTGTGAACAATGCATTCAGTACTACTGAAATAACACTTGCCCCAGATTTGTGGGGAGGTAGCGGTGCTGGTATCAGGGAATGCTTCTTATAAAATGGGCCATATGATTGGAGACCTAAGTGATGTGTAGAGTTAGCCAAGAGGAGAGGAAGAGCATTCAGGCAGAGGAAACTAGACATTCAAAGACCCAGAATCAAGAGACAGAGTGGCTCTTTCAGAGGAGCTCAATGTACACCAATGTAGCAGTTCCATGAGAACTGTAGAAGGCGTGGGCATTAGTGCAGAGAGTAGAGGCATTTTGTACTAGTCAAGAATTGTTGACCCATTTCCCATAAAAAACAAACAAAAGAAGTGTTGACCTTTATAACCATCCTGTGAAGGGCATTAGTCCTATTTACAGATAAAGAGACTGAGAAAAATGAACAAAAATATAAAAGGGGCTGGGTAATCTGTTCCATTCACAAAGCAGAGGTGAATTTCCCCTAAATGAATATATATGTATATGTATTTGAAAGAAAATAATATGGATTTACAGATTTGGCTTATTTCTATAGTTAATATAATTTTGAATAATAAAACTTCTAAAAAAATTTTATATGTCTCATATGTTGTACATAAAATATTTTAAAAAACAGGTATATTAGTATTTGTATGTCAATTTGGTTTTATTATTCTTGCCTCCAGAGCATTTATGAGCATAAATTCTTGTTATGAATAAGTTTTAAAATAAAATTGTCTCAGTTTATTGGTACCCAGAGCTTCATATTACATTTTTATGACTACAGATACAAAGAAGTGGGTAAAATAAGAATATTTTGCTATTTTCTCTAGATCAAAACATAGTAAATGAGTAAAAAGATCATTTGATGATAAATATCAATGCAAAAGGGCATAAATTCTGAACTTCATGTAAATTTAATCAAAGCATATATTGTCCTCTGTGTAGTTTTTATTTAGAAAAAAATTATAAAGAAAAACTAAGAATTGTTACACAACACATATTTGTGGTTTTTTGGGGGGCAGTTGAATACTGCCATCTGGAAGGTGCACATGGGGGTTTCTGAGGGCAGGCAATGTTTCCTTTCTTGGTCTGTGTAGTGGTTATATGGTTGATCACTTTACAGCTAATTTATAATTCTATGTATTTGCAGTTTTGATAACTACATTTCTAGTGTTCTATTTGCATGTCAGCTATCAAAATCAAAAGGTAAAAACATAACTTTTAGTAAGAAAATATACATTATTATACTTAACTATAGTTCAAGCACAGATCTTTACGTTTTCTACTTTATTAAAAACCACATGGGGGGGGGGGGGGGGGGGGGGGGGGGGGGGGAAAAAAATTCATTAAATAATTCTTAAATTTTGGGATTATTTTGATCTCTAATTATACTGTTGAAGCATGATATGCTATATCCTCAGTGAATCATATTCATAAATATGTAGCTATTAACAGCAGAACATTAAGAAAAGTGTCATTAGGGATATTAATATTTTATCTACAGACAACAGAATATTAGAAAATATTTTTTGAGCTGGAGACTGATTACTTTAAAATGTATCCTCAAAGAATACTTGCTGAATGAATAAGTTGGAAAAGACTATTCTGAGTATACCTGAACATAGTAGTGTTGGGAAATAACTGCATGGAAGCCATTACTTTTTAGTTTCTAGTTTATGTAATTCATCTTATTAGGATTACTTTAAAGAATTTGCGTTTTCAGTGACTTGAACTAGGTTTGTGGGAAATGCTAAACTTCAAAAAAATGAGGTAGATAAGGCATAATAAGAAATTACAAAAATATTCTTAAAATATGTTCAATGAAGTTATTTTCAACTTACAAATTTATTATTTTAGTTAATTGTAGACAAAAACATGTAAGTTCACATTTGAAAACATGCTCAGAATGACTTTATTAATTTTTATTATCTCCTAGCCAGATCTATTTGATGAGACTGAAAGACAACTATAACTAAAATTTAAGAAGAGCATGGTAAGCTAAGTATAATTCAATAATCTGATACTTTAAAATGAAGTGAAAAAGAAATGGAAGTTTATCAACATGTGTATAGAGGTTAACACAACCTTAAACCGAAAACTCATTAACATATAGAAAACTTAAAAAAAATTTGCTATAGAGAGGAATCCCAAGATTTCTTGAAAATAATATTATATAGAAAAAACACAAATTCTGAGAATATTCTATTTAATAGCTACAAATTTGTTCATGAAAACTGAATTTGCTTAGGAAGAAACCAAATATAAGAATACAGATATTATCTTACAGACAGTACATATCATCCATCCAAGTCTTTTTTTTTAAAATATCTTAGTGTACCAAATGTGGAAATAAATTATAGTAATTGTATATGGTTCTTTTCTGTTCAAAATATACTTGTCTTCTATATCATTAATCATTAATCAGATGATTTAGGAGTTATTGTATGTAAAAGTAAGTTAACTCTCTCTTTTGTGATTGTATTAATGATTATGAATAACAACCTGCAAATATCTGACCTTTAAGGCTATTATTGAAGGCCATTTAGCTTACCAGACAAATCTTTCTCAATTCATCCAAACACTGATCTCCTATGTATCTTCCATAACTCTATCCAATATTACCTCACTTGTTTTAAAGTGAGCAAGTTCATTTTGGAATCATATTTATCCAACTGTGAAATTTATCTCTAAGTTTTTGTTTTTCCATCTATAAATATATAATAATAACACCTACATTATGTAAGTTCTGATGATGATAAAATTCAGAAATAAATATAAAACACTCCCATTTAATAGACTTTGAAATGTTTCTTTTTCCCCCCAAGTGAAGCCTTCCCTGACCCTAGCTGCCCTGGTTTGGTCATCCTCTTATTTGCTTCTCATAACACCTGAATACAGGGTTATTGGAAAACACTGAAATTACCCAAATCCATTACACCCAATTGTCTGTTAAGTGCTTCAAGAACTTTATGAATTCCCATTGTCCAGCAGTGTTGGGTATGATGTACAAGCTTTATCTGTTGGACAAATGAATCACTTAAATTCCCTAGCAGAAGCATCACAACTATGCTGCAATGTCAGTTGTGAATGATAAAATAAGGTACCTGCTACTTTAAATTTGTGAACTTGACTGACAGAAGTTCCATGCATTTTAGGATATTGAGACCATTGTAGGGCGAACTTTTCTGAAAGAGTTGCATAAATCTAGATGAGATTGCTCAATATAGCACTTACTTGCTCTTGATGTTGACTGAGTGGTCTAGAGTGGACCAATCTTTCTGGCAGTTTTCGATCCAGACCATGTCCATTTTCCAAACGAGACTCCCTGGGTTTGTCAAACCAATCTGTTTCTTCACGACGCAGGTGATAAGCTTTGGAGACCAAGGAAATATCAAACATTGCAATCTCAGCTAACGCAAATGATAGAGGACGGTGGATGTCCTAAAGCAGCAACATGTTCCAGGCTGCTAACCATTCATGCATTTCAAACACAATTCCCAATGGGGCGAGAAAAATAATTTCTAATATTATGTCAAAAAATCTGCACCATGATTTATAAAAAAAAATCATGTACACACCTGTTCAACCTTTCAGAGCAAAATAAAACAAAATTAAATTTTAAATCAGGAAGGAAAAGAAATTTAAGTAGTGATTTCAATAAATAAATGAACAAGTGAATATTCCTCAGAGGTCTTTCTAATCAACCTCAGTCCATTAGCTCCCACTTCTGCACCTCTCCACATCGCCCACTACCAGTCTCAGGAAAACGTATTCCTTGAATAAAGATTGTGTCACTTTCCTACTATCACATCAAACCAGTACCAATGTAGATGTGGCTGACTGCTTTGAATATTAAGTGAATAATTTTTTAAAATATGTTTTTATGACATTCATAAATAAATTTAAAAAATATTTCTAAGGTGGGTGGTTCCAGGTATTATTGTTAGGGGCATGTGTGCTATAATCACCTGGTAGCCTAATATTAAAACTGTACCATTTAGAATATTTTATGAAAAATTAAACAAGTATTTTATGGAGATTTAGGAATTAGATTGAAGAGCTGGTTGACTCCCTTTTGTATTTATGTGACAAAACTTGACGTCAAAATATTTTTGAAAATGAAACCATGTTTAAGTACATAATTATTACTTCAGTTCTTAGTACTTCCAAAGTTTTTTAAAGCTATTATTTAGTGACCAAAGATTCTATTTTACCTACCATATAGAATTTGACTTTATACATATCAAGTTTTATTCTTGGTAAAATGATCCCTAATTATATAGTCACTGGAAACACATTTTTGCTTCCTAAATGGCAGATGGAGCAGCTTTTTCAAGAGCTCATCCTGAAAGGTTGGTTGACAATGATATCAACCTATATTCTCTGGAAAGTCAAGCTTCTACAATGCCACGCGACTGAATTCTATCACAGTACAGCTTTCTTTTCTACGTCTACATCCCTGACTGCCTTCTCTTTCAAAACTTCCTTCCAAAACTTTTTTTAAGCCAATTTTCATTATTTCCTTGTTAGCAGGAATGGCAAACCTACAGTATACACACCACTACTCACCTCCCCTTCCCTCCTGTGATCTTGGTCAACAGTAGTGATTACATCATTTCTTTCCAATAAACACCCAATGATGGGAAATGTGTCATAATTTAGTCTCAGATTTGAAGAATTGCAATGGTACATATCTGATTTGTGGTTGTATATGTGCTCGTCTTACCTCCCTTATTAGATTCTAAGCTGCTTGAGGGCAAGACTCATATCTTCTATATTTTTCCTGCCTCAACACTAAAATCTATGTTGCAAATGCTGTAATAATAAATATTTAGAAGTGAAGAAAACAGAAAAATCAGTCATCAACTAGAGAAAGACGTTATTATAATATGCACATTTAAAAATAAATATTAATTTATTGTCACTTTATCCTCATTAATAAAAATGAAAATAAAAATAAAAAAGTGAAAGCATTTTACAAACACCAAAATGGGCTTCATTCGTACTATGTATATATGTCATCTGTATCCATTAATTATCCTTCTAGTAGAAAGGAAAAATGACTCAAACATAGGCAATCTGATAAAATGAATCATAATTCTAAATATATTTCCTTAGACCCAATGTTTCAACTAGAAATATAATCAGGGTATAATACTCTCAGCACTTATCACCTCCTAGGTGAAGGAAGCATTAAGGAGCTAAGTGGGACTTTTAGGGCCCCAGATAATGCGGATGGAGATCGGGACAGGTCCCCCGTCCCAGAGAAGCAAAGAATGAAGGCAGAGGAGGAAACAGCCAAAAGGCCATCACCAGGAGGACCTGGAGCGCAGCAAAGCTGCTGCCTTCCGCTCCCCATCGTAACCCAGGGAAGCTGAGAACCTTTTCAGACTTCACTGGCAACAAAGAAAGAAGTCCCCACTATATTTTCGTGCTGGTTTTCATTGATTTGGGACACAAGAGGGGCTGTAGCTTTGGTGAATGGCCACTTTTACTGGCTACGGGAAAGGGCTGGAGTAGGACAACGCGGATAATGAGGTATGCGGTAGCACGGTGATGAGGATGGGCAATGGGGTCTCTGCCTGGGCTCAAATCCTACCCTGATGCTTAGCAGTTGTAAAACCTTGAGCAAGTTCTTAATCTCTCTGGCCTCAGTTTCCTGACAGCAAAATAGGGATAATAATAGGATTTATCTGATAAAGCTTTGGAAGACTTAAATGAGAAAATACATGTACTGTAAAATGCTTACGAAAAAAAATAAATAAATAATCACACAATCATTTCTCACCATTTACTGCATATTTATTATGGTTTTTCATAGTTTTAATTACATATAAAATAATAAATTTATGAAAGATATTTAGTGTAGGCCCTGGCTGGTGTGTCTAAGTGGACTGAGTGCCATCCTGTGAGACAAAGGGTCACTGGTCCGATTCCCAGTCAGGGCACATGCCTGGGTTGTGGGCCAGGTCCCCAGTTGAGGACACATGAGAGGCAACCACGCACTGATGTTTCTCTCCCTGTCTTTCTCCCTTCCTTCCCCTCTAAAAATAAATATATAAAATCTTAAAAATAAATAAATGCAGCACTGGCCTTAAAAAATATTTAGTGTTAATTTGATAAATACAAATCCATTATTTAATCATCAGTCTAAAATTTTATTAGATTATCCCAAGAACACTAATACTATTTTATCTTACTTCTTATATATATTTATTATGAAAAGAAAAATAACCTAAACTGATTTTAATAAATGAATATCTTGGATAATGTAGTATATGATTTCACTTGAATATACAACTCTGGTCATTGCACTTGAAATACAGTCCTTTAAAACATGTTCCTTAGCTGAGTTTATACAAATAAAGCAGCATCTCGACCTGACCCAAATTTTGTCAATTTATTTCCAATTTTAATTATATACTTTGATATTTCTTATAATAACTCTACAGGTAACTAAGTTAGGATATCTACCATGTTTTGCTTAGGAATTTATAGACCAACCAAGAAAAACCAGATTGAATAAATCTGCTTTTATATTGAATTCTGTCTTCATCAATTACAGCCAATTTAGATATAAATGCTAGTTGTTTATAATGGCAGTGGTCTGATCTTCCATGGTATACCTGCACTTTAAAAAAATAAATTTTATAATAATAACATTTTCCAAATTAGTTTAAATGATTTGCTAGAGATTAATATCCCCCCACTCTTTTTTCAAACTGATATTTTCTTGAATTCTTAACTGTAAATTACAAGTAAGCTATTTTGGAATCTAGCATTATTCACAGCCAGAAGTTACACTAACAGTTTAATTCTATTCAGTATCACAAATTGGTGCATATAAATATTTAAAGACTGTATATATTGATGCTTTTTTCTTGTATAGAGTATACTTTTAAATAATGTTTTCAACAAAATATTTGTGTTTGTAAAAATAAATATAACTTGGCTGTTTCTAGTTTGGCTTCCCTCCAATCTTCTCTAAATGAAAGCCTCCAGCTTTGTACTTATTCAACCATACATGCATATCAAGTAGTGGACTTCACCTGATGGCCAGAAATATTAAGCAACATAAATTATGTATGCCTAGATTTTACCTCAAGTGAGCCATTTCAAAATTAACTAGAGTCATATACAACACATCTGAAAAACATGTAATGGTCTATAACCTAGAGTTTGATTGTTTTGAAAGAAAGTGCACAATAAGCAATTTGAAATGAGTTAAATTTGTTTTGTCCACATGATACCAAATGGCCTGTTGAAATGCTATACTTTTCAAAATTACTTTAGAAGCATTCAAACACAGATATAGCATTCTTAGTAAAAAAAATATTTAAACATCCTTAATCTTTCATGAATTCATAAATAAGTTGTATGACGGGAAAGAAATATTTTCTACTTTTTCCCTTAATTATCCAAGGAATTCAGGATTTCAAAAGAAAAGTAGGTAATTGTTCACCGGAAGAAAATAATATGTTTATGTGATATAAAAGCAAAGACAATATATAAGGTTTTAAAACATACAAATTTTAAAGATAATCACTACAATTCACACACATAATATTACATATGTAAATTAATTTTTTATAGTAGTCCTTTGCCTAATTTTCTATCAACATCTATATAAATGTTTTGTCTCCTTAATTTTTAAGTATACTTCAGTCTAATTTCATTTTAATTGTTTATTTCTTTGATACCTTTAAACACGTCATAATTTTCTGTGCTACATGATGTCTCATCATCTACTTTATCGATTTTGTCATACAGTCCTTGACGATTGTGAGCACACATCATCCAAACATATAAATATGAACTAAAACATTCAGTTATTTTATTTTGGTTCTATGTAAATAAATGTCATATTTGGGAATATCTGGAAGTATCTGTGTGTGTGTCTGGAGCCATGTTGATAAATATCTGTGATAAGTAAATGAATTTGTCAAATTATCTCCACACATGCATTCATCATGCACAGTCTTTAGATGTTTAGTTATGCCACAGACCTGTTAATGATTTTTTTTTATTATTTTATGGATATGAATACTAAAGAGCCTCTTTAATTTTTTTGTAGCAGTCATTCTATATGCATAAAATGTGTGTAAAATGTGAGTTGTGAGAAAAATAAAGAAAAAGATAAAAACTGTTTCCACATGATAGCATAATTCTGGCTTAACTATGTAGATGCATTGAAGCAAATGCCTAAATAAAAGAACAGTGTTTCATTTAATTGATTAATTGTCAATAAAAATGCCCATTCCAACAGCCAGTAGAGAAGAAAACATATCAGAAAGTCATTAGTTGTTGGAATCTCACTAGGAAGAGCAGTTTGTCCTCCAGATCCAGTGATTAATTTAGTCCTTTTCAAATCTAGATTGAACTTCTATAATCATATTGGTACCTAGATGCAGAAGTAGAAAGAAAATCCTTTTCATGAAAACATATATTCCTGTGAGTCCTCAAGGGAAATGTTAAGATTTAAAAGGAGAGACACACATGTTAGTATAGTGCTTTGTAGTCTCTAAACCATGAAGTAATGGATCCACTTTTACTTCAATAGTAAACCACTTTTATTGGATCAGAAATATTTTATTTCCAGAACTCGAATCACACTTATATTCCAGCAGACCACAGAGGAGATAAAAAACAGTAACAAAAAGGATCCAGGGTCATGAGTCTTCTTGGCACGGGGAAGTCTCTTTAACATCTCTACACCTCTCCTCCCTTGTCTTCAAAATTAGACTTGGACTAGATAATTTTCTAAAATACTTATGGTTTTACATGATTAAACAATAACAATAAAAATACCGTAAGTCAGTTTTTAGCTAAATATGTACTTGCTTTAAATAATTTATTCAATACCAAAAAAACCCCAGCAAAATAATTTAGGGCAAAGAAAGGAATGAGGCAAAAACAATGACAAGAGGCTGAACAGGTATACCTGGAGGAGCTTCAGCTCCAAACCTCTAGACTCCTATAAACACTGTAAAAAAATTGACTTTTAAATCTAAAAAATACTTTATACATACTGATAAGATTATTTATTGCCAATATTATATTTTGTGCTAAGCTTTCTAGTATATAATGTAAAAGTGTAATTTGTCAATTATCATATTCATGAGAAAGATAAAAATATGAAACTTTTAAGGACAATGATAAAATTCTACATCATACTAATACCTGGACTTCTCCAAAAATTCTCAAAAGAGAACATTCCCTGAATTAATAAATACTGGTCTCACAAAATTGCATAAATAATTTCTATTACAAAGTCTAGCAGACAGTACATAATGGCTCTAAACCTTAATAATTTCAAAAACTGAAACTGACCAATAACATTAAAGTGCATTAAAAAAAGAACCATACAATGAAAAACTTTATAACTATGGATTTAAAGAATGACCATATTTTATTGACACAATTATTTTAATGGTTTTGGAAAAGTAGACAGTAAACGAATCAAGCAATGAGGAAACAACGATAAAAGAACAAACTAAAAAGAAGAAGAGCATGCTATGAAATCTGTACACAAGATAAAATTTCCATTTACAAGAAATAAAATTGAAGTAAACATGCAAAAGACAAACCAAGAAAAGTAGAATACATCCTTGGAGAAAGAAAATTAAACATGCAGAAAAATAAGAGTTTGAGTTTTGAGAGTAACAAGGTAGTCTGAGGCCCAATTTACCTTCACTGTCTGACATGGCATGTTGGAAGTCATCCATAATGAATGCTATGTCACGGTCATAGCCTCGAGTCCGTGATTCTTCTCTCATGTGTTGCTGAACTTCAGGCAGTGAATGACTTGATCCAAACTGATCTCTGGTGTCTGCAGATATTGGTGGCAGTGGTCCAGCTGCAGCTCTGGCCATTCCCATTGGCTGGCCAACAGGGCTGAGTGGACTTTCTTCTTCAGAATTCTGGGCCACAATTGGTATTCTTCCTCTACTCTGGCTAATTGGCAAACTGGTAGGCTTAGTTCTGCCAGAGGGTGATGCATGACCAAAGGAAACGTCTAGAGCTTCAGCCTCTTGAGCTTTCAGTCTTAGGGAAGAGCTGGAAGAATCTCTTTTGAGTGATAAATCAAGCCCATAAACAGAAGAAGGTCTGGAAGAAGGTCTGGACCTGCTCCCACTACTGTATGGCTTATCTGCTTCATCCTGCAGAGCTGACCGAATGGTATTTCCCAAGGTACCAAGTCCTGTGCCAAGAGATGATCCCATAAATTTTTGTTGGTCTGTAATATTTTTTCTGAGGCCAAAGGTGATATCATCTTGAAGGAGCCTTGCTCTGGAAGAAATTCCACCAATAGATGAAGTGCCAGAAGTCATATAGCTTGAATAATCAGGTTCAAGGTCTCTACTCTCTTGAATAGGTGAAAATTTTGACATTTTAGGGTCAATTAGTGATTTCTTATGTTTTGACTGCTTTTGGTAAAGTATGGCTGCTGGCAGTTGTTTTGCTGCTTGCTTTTCAAGTGTGAGTCTACTAATGCTGTACTTTTCAGATTTTGGAAAATGTCTGTAGCTAGTATCCGCATGGTAATAATGGGAAAGACCAGCAAGGTGATCTAAGCTCTCTGCCCCTCTACGGAATTCTTGTTTAATCTGATGCTTCAGAAGCTTTAATTCATAAGGATCCTCCATTGGATCATCCTCTGCTTTCACATAACTATGCAATCTGGAGGAAGTCTGTAATGGTGCTAGGAAATCTGTCACTTCTTGAGACCTCCGTGTTTCGGTGGTTCTAAGGAGTCGGTCTGTTTTTGACAGATCCTTTTCATGAAGGCTAAATGCAGTGGTTAATGCTGCTGTTCCTTTGGTAATCTCTCCAATGTCATCAATTAGGACAAAATTTCGAGAAGTATGATGGTCAATATCTGCATAAAAAGAATCTGCAGATATGCTTGATATTGGACTGCTTGCCATGCTACTTCTCTCCTCCAATCCTATTCTCAAGTCTAAGCTATTGTACTTACTACCAAGATGGGAAACAGCATATGTATTATCAGTAGAAACAGGTGCTATCATCAGGGGTTGGTTGCGAATCACCTCATAGTTTGAAGTTATCTTGGGCTCCAAATATAATGTAGTTTGCCGTGGCTTTTGTTGTATCACCATCATCTGCGATGGTAACTGATAAGAAGGTTGTGGGGTTGGTGTAGGTTGAGCCTGAGGTGTGAAGGACATTGTTGCCACAGCTTGAAATGTGGGCTGAGTCTGGTAAGGCGAAACCTGCTGGTGGTACAAAGTTTGTTGCTGAAAATGGGATTGTTGGGTGTATGGGGTAGGTGCTTGGGTAGGAAGAGCAGGGGAAGAGTATTGGTATTGCGTATAAGGACTTGTAGGAGGAACTAGCTGAGATTCTGTTTGGGTCTGTGGGGGTATAAACTGGCTGAATTCAGTTTGGGGAGCAGTTCTTGGTCGCTCTATGCCATGCTGACTTTCTATTCGGGTTGGTCTGGTGCTGCTCACCTCACTGTCAGACATGTAATCCCGGTCCTCGGCCACTCCCTGGAGGTAGGCTCGCTCTCTCTTTTCTCTCTCTTTTAACAATGCCTCTTTCCTCCTGTTAATTCCCATTTCCAGGTACCGTAACTTGGCATCAATCTCCTTTTCTTCCTCATCAAGTTCTGCTTGCTTCTTCCTAAGTTTTGCAGATTCCCTCTCTACAAGATCAAGTTCTCTGTCTATATCCTGGAGAATCTTGGCCCGTGCCATTGTGTTGGTTCTGCAGATCCTTCTCCTGGAAACTGTGCCCATTGTGCTGTAAGTCGACTGAGTCCCTGCTGAGGTCTCCTCAGGAGGTGGGTTTGGCAGAGTTCTCTTAACTTTTTTCTGGGTGCCAGAGGGTGTTATGGTTTGAGAACTTTTTGTCTGTAATTAAATAAACACAATATAGTGCTTTATTATCAAGGAATAAAATTAAAGACAAAAAAACCTTCATAATTGACATTTAAATAAATATGATTATATATATTTTAGGTATGACAGTTTAATAAAATAAAAAGTTTATATATAATTTTAAGTATTAGCCACAGTACAGTTAACTGAAAAATCTTTTTTTTCTTTCTTGCTAAATTGGTTCTTTGTTATTATAACTTCTGCAACATTAGAAATAAGTTTTGAAATCAAGCATAGAACTCATTGCTAGGCAGGCTTATATTTTAGTTACACTCAGGAGAACTTTAGAAACTGATTTTCAATCCTATTTAACATACACAAATTTATTTGCTGCATACATTCCTAAAATATTTGTAGTATCTACCTAAAATTTAAGTTAGGTTTGTTAGAGATAATGCTTAATTACCACTGTTAAGTTCAATTGTTTGTTTCAATATCTCCATTCCTACTTTTAACCTTAGAGTGGCTGTCATTTCTATTCCAATCATGAAGTGTTTTGAAATTAAACACTCAAGTTCTTTAATGTCTTTTTGTCCAAAAAAAGGTAATCTAAATGAATTTCCCATTTAAACTTTCAATATTCTTATGACTATTTGGGTCTTTTATTTTCTTTCAAATTTATTACTCTTTAGTAATTTTAACTTCTTCCTAATGCTTTTTTTAGCAGGAAGCAGAAAGAAAAAAAAATAACCCAACTGCAATAAAAACCCACTGAAATCTTTTTCTTTTTAAATTAGATAAAGTATATCATTTGAGATTGGTAGATATTTTTAATTTCATGTGGTTAATTTGTAACAAACTTGCATTATGAGAATCACTTGTTTTGAGAATCACACAAGTTTACAATACCAAAAGGCACAAAAGAGCATACTGACTATTTATAGTTAAAAAAATTTGATATAACCAAAGTTAACCAAGCATTTAATAGCATATTCACTATATCTTAGGTCTTTTTACTTCTGGTTGCCTATTTTTTTTTTTTTTTTTTTAGATTTTATTTATTCACTTCTAGAGAGAGGGAAAGGGAGGAAAAAGAGAACATCAATCAGCTGCATCTTGTTCACACTGCGATCAGGAATGGAACCTACAACCCTGGCATGTGCCCTGACTGGGAATTGAATGAGCAACCCTTTGCTTTGTGAAACTTCACCCAACCAACTGAGCCACATGGGTCAAGGCTTGTTGCTTATTATTTATAATTTTTTTTCTTTTTCTTACTAATAATCCAAAGATCTTAATTCTCTTTTCCCCAAGCACCAAATATTGAGGGCAGAAAAATAATAGAAAGTATATAACAATTATGTCTAAATAATTAGATCATATTTGTCCAAGACTCTGAACTTTCAATGTCTTTTATTATTTCCAAATTCATTTCCTCAATGCTTTTAATCCTTCTATTATTTTTTTCCTGCTGTCTTTATCTACCCTCACTAATTGTTTCTTTAACAGAAATCATAACCAGAAACATAGCCTGAAGATCAAATGAGGTTATGTATGTTTCTGACATTTAAATTATTTGCAAGCAAATTCACAATGAATAAATATTGTGAGCCTGTGAAATATGTAGAAAAGGTAGAAATTGTAGATTGTACCTCCTCACAGAGAAATCTCAAGGAATATGGAAAACTGGAGCCTCAAAGGCAGCTGTTTGGCATGTTACCTATTTGCCCTCCACAACTCATTTTAGTTAATACAATTAGATCATAGGGTTATTATGAAGATCAAATGAGACACTGTATAAAATCTTTGGTACATATTATAGACATCCATTAAATATTATTTCCTTGAAGAAACCCCCTTATTTTACAGAACACATAGATATTAATAAATTCATCTTTTAAGGAAAGTTTATTTGCAAAAAATAAAAATTGAAATAGAATAATTTTTCTTAGCAATTTTCTAAATGCTAATATAGATATATATATTCTATTTTTAAGAAGGTTTTCCATAATAACCTTTTCAGTTCTCTGAATACAATGGTATTCAATGGGAAGCTGAAAAATACTGTTTGTTTTTCCTTAGCTCACAGTTGGTATATTTAGTAGATGCATGAAAATTTTAAAATATAAAATGTTCATTTGTACTATCTGATTGTGGCTGTGAAATGGTTTAACAAAAAGCTGTTTAATTGTGTTAGCCTGAAAATGTTTTGGCATTGCATAAAATGAAGACATTTCAAATCAGATTTTTTTCCTCCCACCAAAGGAGGATGAAAACACCCAGCAATTAATGCAACACTAAATGCTGATCCTGGCAGAGATAAAGAATACAAACAGATAGGGTAACCATGAAATGGGGCAGATAAAGAGAAGGAAGAGAAATTTCTAGTGTGGATGCACACAACTAAAAATACTGAAGGTATCCTTTAAATGGGTGCACATATCTGTTACCATATGATCTCACCTATAAGTGGAAGCCAATCAACAAAACAAACAAGCAAGGAAAATATAACCAGCAACACTGGAAGAAAAAAGAAACCAAAATGAGAGGGGAGGAGAGAAGGGTGTAATGGGGAAAAGAAGGGGTAGGATCAAGTCAAGGAACATGTATAAAGGACCCATGGACAAAGTCAAAGGGGGAATGATTGAGGGTGGGAGGTGGGGTGGGTGGGGCAGGGGAAAGTGGTGGCGGGAGAATGGAGACAACTGTATTTGAATAAATAAAAAAATAAATAAATACTTTAGGAAAATGAAAAGGTAAAATAAGAAATTACTGTGATTAGTTTTAAAGGTTCTGAATCAAGTGAATTGCTCAGAATTCAATGAGTAGAATGAGAGCATATATAAATGTGCAATCCTTGGCAATGACCTATAATGCAGTGTACTGAGTAGCAAACAGTGTGGCTTGGTCAAAGAGAAAATTGTGACAGTGCAATTTAAGTTCCTTCAATGATAATAAAGCATGTGGATTTCATAGAAACAATAGATACAATCTGTAAGGCTTCAGCAAAACTTTACATGGTCCTGTGACAGAGTTGGCCATAAGAATGAAAAGTGGTTATATAATTTGTCAGAACCCCATGCACACCATGGCTATTCATGGTCCAGCATCAGTGTAAGCAATCTGGTCACGTTTCTCAACCTTGACACTAATGACATTCTTGACCAAATAATTCTGTTAGGGTGGTGGTGGCTGTTTTGTGCACTGCAGGGTGTTTAGTGGTTACTCTGGCTTCTACTGACTAGATGTCATGAGCACATCCTCCTCTACTCATGTAAATCAAATGCCACAACAACTTATCAAAACCTCTAGGGGAGGGGAGGCATAGAAGTCACTAGCTGAGAACCAGTGATGTAGGAGTATATTCAAGATGATATCCTCAGGAAGAAATAGTTGATTTACTGTTATTTAATTTAATCATCATCTGTTGATTATGAGAATGCTAGTATTTGTATATCAGAGTGCCTTAGTATGAGCAGAAAACTCATAGGAACTTAGTTTTCAAAACTAAGAAGGAACTTAGTATGAGTTCCTTCTTAGAGGAACTTGGACTTAATTGGTGCCTTGAAAAAGATAACTCTTGGGATAAACGGTGAAAGAAAAAGAGACATTCCAGATTGCGTGACAATCTGAGCAAATAAAGTTGAAATGTTGGATTTTTGCCTTATAATTTATGATCCTATAATTAACCCCTTTATTAAATAGGATAATTCTTACCTAGTGTAAGAATTAACATAAACTATATTCAAAAGATATTCTACCAGGTTTTGAAAAATACAGTTTTATTAGAGAATAGGGAGAAATAAAACAGATGCCTATAACTGAAAAGTAGTTCATTGAGTTTAGAAAATTAATTTTTCTAGTCTAACCTCATAAAAATCTTGGGAAATTTTCTATAGCTGCAATAACTAAGAAAAAATCAGGAGATAAGAATTGCTAGTCTGACTGAAAAAATGATGAAAATGATAGTTCTTTGTTAAAGACTGCCAGTTACTCTAATTTCAAAGGAGAATCAATGGTGTTATTAAAAAGAAATTACAACCTTAAGAGGACAGGACAATTATTTAATTTAAGGAACTAAACACCAGAATAACTAAGGGAGATTAGTTGGAGAGCTAAACTTAGTTTTAAAATCAAGAAGATTCTTGGCATCTTAAAACTAATAAGAAAAAAGAATGAGAACAGTAACAACAAAAAAAAGCATTTATTTAATAGCTCAGTGAAAAAAATATTTTTAATGTTGAGTAGAAATTGCTTTTGGGGTTTGTCCAACCCTATCTGAACTTTCATCCAGAGCATTATTTACTGTGTAGATGACAGTAAGCCTTTGTCTTGATAAGAAGCATAATATTCATCCATAACATCCTGCTCTCTGACTCTATTTACTCTGTTGTATACCTGGCCATTTATTCTTATTAGGGTGTAAATATCAGCTATAAAGAGCTATGCCCTTTAAGTATTAGGAAGATAGGAGCATGTCTAGAATTTTTCTCCTTCAACTAAGATAACTCTTTAAAATATATGAACATAAGGTAGCATATTTCTTTAATTTTGGGAAGTTAAGGTGAAGGATGATAATAAAGCTGTAAGGAAAACATAAGGCTGCAAGTTGAAAAATATGCCTTTATATATCCTTTCTTGTAAGTTGACTGGAAGAAGAGTTTTACTATGAAATGTCAATGTAAACATTAATTCACCTTCAAGGGATCTCTCTCCACCTTAATATCAACAGTTTCCAATTTTAAGACAGAATAGAAGTTGCATGTAAAAATATTCAGCATTATATTCTATGCACTCTATCATTAATAACATGGTCCCCAAATAGGCCCATTATTTAATACCATCCCACCCTTACCCCCACACAGAGCTAAGACAGAAAAAATGTTTAGTGTAACAGCTCAAGAATTTCTACTGCTTCAAGAGATAAAAGAAAGATAAAACAGAAGAGTGACCTATGCAAAAGTAAAGTCCTAAATTATACAACTCATGGAAAAGTACTTTAAAGATTAACAAAACATATAAAATCCATTAGG